TCAGTCATTCGCGAATATGATGACATACCCGAGGAGGAAGTGCTGAAAGCTAAGATAACCACAATTCTGAAATACATCAAACGAGATCTGCAGAAGCAACCCAGTCCAAACGAGCCACTTATTGCTGATACGAATCTGGTCACTCAAGCCTTGAAGGTGCTGGTCATTTTTGTGTGGAACCGCGACTATTCCTCTTTGTTGACGGACGAGCATCGTATCTTCGTCCTCGATCGGTCCATCCAGGTCATCTCCGAACATACTGCACCAAAGGGTGTGATCCTTCACTACCTTCACCTTTTAGCAACCCAAAATTTTCGGCCAGTTCTCATCAACAACACCCGTGTTACACGCCTGCTTGAAGCACTCAGGGCTCTAACTGAGCATGTGAAAGGCAATGGCGTGGTCTCGGAGAGGTTATTGGTCTACCAGAAGCTCCTCGATCAGGCAAGGCCCACAATGAAAGCTCGAGCGAACTTGTGGGTTGAGGCGCTATTGACGGGCATGACAAACTCGCTGAAGGATGTGAGGACAAAGGCAATTGCCATGGGTCTGAAAGCGTGCTCGGTATTTCCAGTATCCTATTCCATTTCAGTCACTGTCAAATCGATTCTTGCCGCAGAGCTTTCACCGGGAAAGACGTTCAGCTCAGCTATGTGTCGCAGACTTGAAAAGATGATCACGGTCAGAGAAGAAGGGATTCAGGTTCCCCAGATATGGACAATCGTACTCATGCTCAGCAATGGTGTCGAGGAGCGAGACTCCAATGGAGCTGGGCCGCGATTCGACAAATGGCCACAATTTATGGACTGGTTGAAAGTCATCCAGACATGCTTCAACTGCAGCGAGTCTGCCATCAAACAACAAGCCTATATGGCCTGGGACCGTTTCATTCACATCATCCGACCCCATCAAACGTCCGATACCTTGATGGCATTGCTTGCGAAGCCGCTCACCGCTCAAATGGAACGTCAATCGACTGAACAGGCGTCCAAAGGCACCCGTCCAACTGCTGTTTCAAGTTACTGCACCTTGCTTTATTATGCTTTCAGACCAGCCGCTACGCACAAACAGTACACTAGGGTCTGGAATGAATACATTGTCAAGGTAATGAAGAGCTCATTTTTCGAGAAAAGCAGTGCCAACGCCGACATTGCAAGTCGCATCTTCATGGCATTGTTCTGGAACTCAAAAAAGAGCATGAAGGTCTGGAATGAGAAAAGAGCCCTTGAAAATACACGAGTTGAGCCAGAGGAACTCCCCACCATCGATTGTAAATGGATTAGAGCAAAGTCCAGAGCGATTCTCGACATGTTCCAAGTTTTGATGCAATACAGCTCCTGGGGTGCTTCAGGCAACTCCGACAAAGCGTTTATTGCCATTGCCTGGTCACATTTCCTCAAAGCATTGCGAGAGGCGAGCAGCAAAGAGATCAAGCCTTCACCTGAGACAGTCGATGCCATGACCAACGTAACCAATTTCTTAGGACTGCTCTTTGAAGACTGCTCAGGACTGGTGACCGAAGAACGAGCAAGCGGTTTTCATGGACTTAGCCTCGCCCAAGTGCGACACTTGACACTCGCCGCCATCACTGAACTTGGGACAGATCTGATAAAGGCTGGGCTCGAGCTCAACTGCGACGTCAAGAGGATGCTTGTCATCTATGATACACTAGAGTCCGTCATGCGAGAATCGAAAATGGAAGAGGATTCTCAGAGTCGTGCGCCATCCGAGGCGCTGAAGACTGAAGCACCTCCATTCTTGCGCCACTCTGAGGAACTGCTCGAATATCTGAACACCCGGCTACTACGAGATTTCGGAACGCAACACGCTACTGGAAAGAAATCGTTGATAATGCTCGGGATAGAGCAGCTGGAACAGAACTTCGATGCTGCCCCACAGGGATACATCGTCCGCCTGCTGGGACTACTTCAGCCAACTCTGTCTACCTTACTCAAAGACGATGAGTTCGGGAAAGATGAGATTCGTGGCGGATCTTATTCTGAAATCGTCAGGTCCACCCTAAACATCCTTGCCAGAACTGCCCCTGGAACTGACGAAGTATTCGATGACGTTCTGGCCGCTTTCTTTGAAAGTCCCCATATCTTTGCACGGGACGAGGCTATCACACTGTGGAATATGCGTTACAGCCATTTACGCGCTGTCTCTATCAGCCAGCGTCTCTCTGAAGCTTTGTGCAAGTTACGAGAAGCCGGTATTGAATTAATCCCTGACACCACAATACCACCTGCTCCTACCGGGGGAACAACTCCCACATCTACAAATAAAGCATTAAGTCCCGACAAGGTTGCACATAGTGCTGGACCTTCTCCGGAACTAGGAAGCCAGCACTTCGAGCTTGTTACAACGGAGCATCCGAGTCCGACTCTCTCAGGCCCCAGAAGACGAAGTCCCCGATCCAGGGCGAGATTTGACGATTCCCAAGTTCTCTTTGTACCGATTGATTCCTCACCGGCATGTGAATACGATTCAGATTCGCAGTGCCTAACAGAACATCAAAAAGAAGTTCGAGACAGACAACGTTCCGAACCTACCGTTGTATTTGCCGATCTTCGATCAAGTCCGCGACCACATAGCAGGGCTACGAGCGTAAGCAATTGTGGTATTGCGCGCAAGGCAGCTGCGCTACCAGAACGACCTTCAACACCGACTTTGCCAACAGGTCAGGATCAACAGGAACCTGAAATACCGGCTTCTCCAACCCCTCGAGCACGACACGTTGCTAATCAAATAGCGGACATCGATGTGCCTTCATCACCGCCATCAATTCAAGGTTCTCGTGATCGAGGGGAGATTACTTCTTCTCCACCACAATCTGGTGCGGAGGATGGACAAGTCAGAATTGATCTTGCCATCGCGCCGCCGCAAGTCGTCTGTCAGCAGAACGCTATAAAAGCAAACGACGTTTCACCAACTGAAGATGTGACTGGACCATTTTCCACCGTCAATGAGCAGAGGCTCGTTAACGCACAAACGGATATCAACATGCTAGACCAGAGTACTGAAGAAATTGTCCGCGCTGTTCCCACAACCACAAATCCATTGGCAACGACTACCGGCGCAAATAATGATCCTGCGTCCTCAAGCCCAATGGCAACTGGAAATGACAGCGATGAGATCGACATGCTTAGCGCCTCGCAATTATCCCATGATCTTGACCAACACCTTAGCCAGGTAGTCGAGGACGAGGGTTTGCAGATTGCAGGGGAGGGACAGGAACCCAACAGCCAACCAAAGCCTCAGACACGACGAAGTCGGAAGCGCAAGTCTAGTAGCCTGAGATTCACCTCGAACAAGCGGAGAAGGTCCCAAATCTCTTCCCAGACATCGTCCCAAGCAACCAAAAGCTCTTTATATGAAACACCAGGAGAAATGGAAGACTGCATTGAAATTGTTTCGTCGCGGGCAGTTCAAGCGATTGCCACAAACGAACATGTGCATGAAACTCGGACAGCTGTTACTGAGCCAACGAGTGCCCCGAAACGTCGGAGGGGCCGACAACGTCGAAGACCAGAGAATGTCAGCTCGACTCCAGAGTCACCGATTCATCATCTTGACGCAGTCGAGGTGGTAGTGCCTGGAACTCGGCAACCGAAGGAAGGAAGCGTACTCGAGAGCGACCCATTGCCTTCAGCACCGAGCAAGGGTGAAAACGCAGCAGCAGAGAATCCCCAGCTACCGTCAAGTACTAGTGAGGTAGCAGCCTCAATTGATTTATCGGCTTGCCCTGACGAGCCGGCCGAAGGTGGTACTCAGCCCAGCCTGAGTGTCATGCTGCAAAATGTCCTGGACCGGCTCAAGTCAAGTGAGCCCGGAGACGTGGACTTACGGGCAGTGGATGAGCTCTGCTTCCAGATTCGGTTTCAGGCACAGGTAATTACTCAACGGCAGGACGATAAGCTGTAAGAAGGGATATTATGGAGGTTCACCTATGATAAAGGTACAAAATAGTGGTATTGCGTGGATAACAAAGGTACAGAATATTGATATTGGTTTGGGCGTGATGATGAAATGCGCATTCAATGCAACTACTGTAGCGTCGTCCGTGGTCTACTTGTTCTCTCTAAGGGGCTGTCATTAATATTTGTTGCCCGTCCATGGGTGGTGGACTTGGGAGTATATGCGGCTGAATGTTCTTCCTAGAATGGTGCCACGTGACATAGCGAGCGGAGATTCTGCTAAAGACTGGGCTCCTTCGACCATTGCCGTTGGCCATGATTATTATTGACTCTTTCGTTCAACCACTACATACCCCGAAACCCCGAAATCGCAGCTCTTTGCACCTCTGACTCAACCGCTCTCACCTCTTCCTCCTGCACACTCGCATCCTCCCTGTCGCCCTCGTTTGTTCTTGCGCCGGTCATTCCCTTTGGTGTGTGTTTGGTCGAGGGTCTCTAGAAGTGAGAGAGAGTAAGAGAAGAAGAAAAAAAAAAGAGCAACACGGAGAAGTGTCGCAGCAATGGCCGCAACTATCAAAGCCATCAATGCGCGGATTCGCTCAAACAAGGTCCTCGATTATTTCTGCTCCACACGTACGTTTATCCCAGCGAGCCTTTCCTGACGCACAATTTCTCTGTTCATGAGGAACAACTGCGCTGCTTGCGCGACTATCGTCGCTGCGCTGTTGGCTAGCGATTACGGGAAAAAAGTGGTTGAGCCGCACGATTAAGAGGGGGAGGCAAGACAAAGCGACAGCACAATACAGTCACATGAAATCCGAGCTACAAGAGTACTGACTGTGTTGTCTGGACAGATTTCTGGGGTCCGGCTTCGAATTTCGGCATTCCCATCGCCGCAGTGTTGGATACACAGAAGGATCCTGAAATGTACGTCCAACCCCACCATCTCTTTCATCTGTATCCTTCAGCGGTACCTGCAAGCACACAGACTTGGGAACATTCAGTCATCGTCTGCTCCATTGGGTTGGGTCAAGACTTTGCAGCCGGTCAAGAACACCCCGAGACATTGAGGAACGGAGACTAATGGGGTCTTTTGACTACAGCATCTCTGGACAATTCACAGCTGCGCTCACCATATACTCGGGGACATTCATGCGATATGCCCTTGCCGTGACGCCCAAGAACTACTTGCTGTTCGCCTGCCACTTTGTGAACTTCAACGCCCAGCTCACACAAGGGTATCGGTGGTATGATTACTGGTAGTAAGTACAACCTTTCTTTATATATGCGCGCCCCAGGTTTTCCGGCGATGCGTCAAGCACAAATGCTAGAGATTCGTCAGCCGGCATCTCCACTCCCGTCAAACCTGCTAGCAACTCGTTTTTTTGATTCAATCGATCTAATTGCTCGTGTTTGCAATTTTACAGTGGCAATGGAAAAGAACGCTGGGAAAAGATCCGCGCCGAGAAGGCCAAGACAGAACTTGAGGGCGCGGTCGAATCGATCGCCAGTCAGACCAAGGACAAGGTTCAGGGTGCGGTGCAAGAGGTGAAGAAGACGGTGTCGTAATTGAGCGGACGTGGATGTGGATGGGGCTGCACACAGGCCCCGTATACCTAGGGAGTAGTGAAGAACGGAGACGGAGGGATCTTGCCTAATGCCTGGATAGGACACAAATCGAGGGTCGTGTTTCAAGTAATACGACACTTATTACCAAGGGACTTCTCTTTTGGCCCCCCTTTTGGGAAAAGGTTTTTGGAAGTTGGTACATACATACATAGGAACACAGGAAACACGCAGTTCAGAGCTGTCTGGTTTTTCCCCCAAAATGACAGCACTGCTACTGACGTGACTGGACTGGGTGGATTGGAATGGATGATTCAACTGGTTTAGATTGGATTGGAAATTGAACGAGGAGGAAGTAAGAAAGATACAAAATGGTTTTTGGGGGGTGGGGGCTGTCCCTACTACCGTTGACTCGATATCGACATTCATGTCTTCTTCTGTCGTGAGCGTGTGTCGGTCAATGTCCCTAGGACCTTTCCGGTAACCTGGAAACCTACTGTCCTAACCCTGTGCTTCGTGATTGTGCTCGAATCCTGTGTGCTACGGTCTATGCGGTTCGGAAAATGTCGAAAATCGAGAATCGAGAATCAAGAATTTCGGGATGATATTTGCACATACCGAGGAGACCCCGATGTGGTAGACAACTCAAGTGCAGATAACTAGTAGAGAGACTAGGTTTTTGTCTCGCCACGAAGCTAATAGCTACCTAACTACTTAGCTGTATAGGTATCCTCTGAAAAACTAAAAGTAGCTTGGTATTGGTATTGGTAGAGTAGAGGTGGTGGTCCATCCGTCAACGAGAAACCATCTGAGATACACACAGTAAATACAGGCAAGGCGCGCGTTGAACGAGCCGTCGTACTCCTTCCCATAATCGGATTGTCGCATTGTTTGCATGTTTGCATTGCGCATTGTGAAACACCAAATACTCATCGTCTGGTACAATCGGCAAGCTGCTTACTCCATCTCCACCAAACAACAGTAGCGCATAACACTTGGACCGTGCTCAACCAACCCCCATCTCACAGAAACGTGGAGGATTCTAGGATCCCTTGGTGAAATTCTGCCACATGCCGCCTAGAATGCCTGGTTGGCCGGGCTTCTGGTCGGCCCAGTTGGCCTTGCGTTCGTCCTGGCTGCTTCGCTTCTGCCCCGTGAGGCCAGCGAACTTTTCCGAGGCGGACGACTGTAAACCGCACAAGAGACGACAGTTGTTAGTTAAATGTCCAACTTGGATACAAGTGTATAGAGACATCTCAAAGTAGCAGACCCATGCTGCGAAAGGAGGTTGGGATATCGTGAGGTACTCACCCGTCTTCGCCCTGCAGCGCCAGCGGAGGCTGCGGGACCTGTGGCTCCTGTGGTAGCCTTCGTCTCCTCCTTGGTCGGGCTGCCAGCGGCAGAGCCCTGGGAGGACTGGCTATTGCTCCGGGGCTTGTAGTTGTACTGTTTGAAGAACATGATTCCTGGTGACGCTGGTCGAGGCTGAGACTGGGTTCCGATGTATGTCACAGGAAGGTCGAGAAAAAAAGAGTAGGCTTGGTAGGACAGAATCCAACTCAAGGGCTTGGTAGGGAAACAACAGTACTTATACCACTATTCGATGAACAGTGGCCTCAGAAGAGTGAGCGTCGATCGATGCTGCGAGGATATGGTGACGTAGATGACACAGGTGGGTGGATCGACGAGATGAAGCTCAAAAAAGCGGAACCAGACGCAGCTGGTGGTGTGTAGATAGCTCACTGAGAAAGCCTTGAAGGATCTTGTGACTGCGGGCTGTTGGAAGTGTCAATGGTCAACACTTGACGGTTTGATCTGGTAGCTGTGTTGTTCGAGAGGAATGCAGAGCAGTCTGGAACCGAGAAACCCGTAGGGTAATGGAGGGGTGTGGACGATCATTTATGTACTGGCTGGTCCTCTCATCGTCCTCTCTTCTACCCCTCGCCAGAATAGGAACCCAGCATAAGCTTTGTCTCAGCCGATCGAACCACCTGAGCAGAAGGATGGAGGAGACGAGGGACGAATGGCGGCATGGCAGGTGCAGCCCTGGTTCAACTCGCGTGCCACGTTCCCAGCTTTGGCGTCCGTTAGGGATACGAACAGGACCTCGAGGAGGGCAAATAGGAGAGATATCAGGCCGAGTCTAGCTCGCAGATAGATACCTAGAGGAGGCCTGGTCAGCATTTGTCCAGAGTAGTGATCCCTGGCATTTGTAGCAAACCTCTAGCCTAAGGAGCCAATAACAAGGTTGATATCTCCCAATCAATGCAGTGGAATTAGAATCCGGGGCCTCGGTGGTGGATTGTACCCCGCGTCTCATGATGCAGCCAAGTGGACGTTGTCGACAAAGAGACATGGATGGTCAGCAGCCGTGATGGTCCGTGGTCTGTGGTCCGCAGTCCGGAGCCCCGTTGGTGCCGTGGTGCCCGCTTGAGGTCATAGTGTGAACCTATGAAGAAGCGAAGAGACAAAACGGTACAAGAGAGAGAAAAGAACCGACGACCAACATATGCCAGCTGGTTGGTTGCAGCCCGCAAACAGAGGAACCCAAGACCACCAGCCTCGAGGGCCACACCACATGCACGCTTAGTATTTCACATGCTTCACAGTCCTTTCGAGACAGAGCCAGTGGCTTTTTTGGGGTTATCAGCATAGACTCACATGTATCGTGGGGAGAACAGCCTAGACGTCTTCTAGCAACTAGGAAATAACAATACGGTCCCAATTCGGCCTTGCCTGAGGTGATAACAATGGATGCTTCCCTTCTCTCTGTCTCCTTGCCCCCCCCCATAATCCATACTGGGTTTCAAACCACCTAGGCTGTCACAACCCCCTCGTTTTCAAACAGTCGTTGCAATCTAGATCCCCTGTCCCATGAGGCCTTTCACGCCTTTGCAATCTTGCAAATCAAATCCGATCCAGCAACCGAGTCCCCTTCTTTGACCAGAATCTCGCCAACCTTGCCAGAATGGGGAGCGCTGATAACCATCTCCATCTTCATGGCGCTCAGCACAGCAATCGGGTCGCCCTTCTTGATGTCGTGCCCTTCCTTGGCTCGAACTTCCACCACCACGCCTGACATGGGAGCCCCGACTTGGCTGCTGTCGCCCGGATCGGCCTTGGGCCGGCTGGTGTTCTCCACCGCAGCCTTGTTGTCGTCGATTGTCACTTGCCGAACTTCGCCGTTCACCTCGTAGAACACTTCGCGTTGGCCGGTGGCCTCCGACAGGGGGCCCACAGCCAGCAACTTCATGATCAAAACCTTGCCCTTTTCGAGCTCCACGTGGAACTCCTCACCAATCTCTGGCTTGTTCAGGAAGTACTTGGTCGGGAGCACCGACAAATCGCCATACTTGTCCACGAATTTGCGATAGTCCTCAAAGACCTTGGGGTACATCACATAACTCGCCACATCCGTTTCTGCGGTGGTGTTGAATCTCTCCTTCAAGTCCTTCTTGACCTTGGCAAAGTCAACGGGCTCAAGGTACAGCCCCGGTCTCTTGTCCATCTTTCGGCGTCCACGGAGCACGTCGCTTCGCAGTGGCTCGGGGAATCCGCCGTATGGCTGACCCATGTATCCTTCGAAGAACTCCAAGACGGATTCGGGGAAATCCAACTCCTTGGCTTTGGCCTTGACGCCCTCTTCATCCAACTTGTTGGACACCATGAATTGCGCGAGATCACCCACCACTTTGGAGGTGGGAGTGACTTTGACGATGTCCCCCAAGAGGTCGTTCGCCTGTTCGTAAGCCTTCTTCGTCTCTAGCCATTGCTCGCCTAGACCGAGTTGAGAGGCTTGGAAGATCAAGTTGGTGAGTTGTCCTCCTGGGATCTCATGTTCGTACACTTCGGGATCGGGGCCAGTCAAGCCAGCTTCGAACGGTGAGTAGAGCAATCTCAGCTGGGACCAATATTGGTCCAGTGCTCGCACGTTGTGACCATTTAGACCTGGGTCATAGTCGGTGCCTTCAAGAGAAGCAAGGAGAGCTCCAACGCTTGGCTGAGACGTCATGCCTGACATAGAATCTGATGCCGTGTCCACAGCATCAGCGCCAGCCTCCGCGCAAGCGACGTAGGTTGCCACTCCAGTTCCCGCCGAGTCGTGGGTGTGGACATGGATTGGGAGATCGGGGTACTTCTTGCGGATGGAGCCAACAAGAAGACGAGCAGCCTTAGGCTTCAGAACGCCGGCCATGTCTTTGATGCCGAGAATGTGGGTCCCAATCTTGACAATCTTCTCGACGAGGTTCATGTAATATTCCAGGTTATATTTCTTCTTGGGGTTCTGGTGAAAAAGTTAGTAAATGTACCGAGAAGCTCAATCAAAATAACCAAGGAAATCGTAGCAAGAACCAAAAAGAGCGCTTCCAGGGGGATCGTGGGTTGCTTGTAAGTCTGAGACAAAAAGCGGCCTGAGAGTTGCAACCGCTGCCATGTGTTCTCGTGCTGCAAGGATAGCGCTCAAGCGTCACTCCATAGGGGATACAGGCGCATTCTTTGTTGGTATCTTCCCGGTACAATCCGGTACTCAGACGAACGGGGGGTTGCGGATGCCATCTCCGGATGAAAAGGCAGATAACGAGCAAACACGGAAATAAGGCACACTTACAAGCACTATTGGGTTGATTAGCATCGAGTCAGTGAGGGGGAAGATAGGAGTCACATACTGTCACCTGAATAGCAGATGGCGGCTTCCACAACACCACCGGCTTCCTGAACAGCCCTCATACCCACCTCCAATTGGTCGATGTCGTTGAGGGCATCAAACACTCTAAAGATATCCATTCCGTTCTTCTTCGCCTGCTTGCAGAAATGGTAAATGGCGTTGTCGGGGAGTGACTTGTAAGCAACACCGTTGGCTCCACGGAGCAACATCTGGAAGGGAATGTTGGGAACCAGCTTTCTCATCTTGCGGAGTCGATCCCATGGGTCCTCATACAAGAATCGCATAGCAACATCGAACGTGGCTCCACCCCAGCACTCCAATGCCCACGCGTTGTTGAGAGCATGGCTGGTATGTTTGGCGATGTTGCACAGGTCGACCGTGCGGACTCGTGTGGCCAACAGAGACTGATGTGCGTCACGCCAGGTAGTATCCATGATGAGACACCCCTTGTTCGTTCGGACTGCCTTGGCAAATGCGGCTGGTCCTTCTTTGTCGATGATCGATTTCCAACCCTGCGTGCATGGCTCGTCCACATTGATCTCCTTGCCATGCTCATCAAATAGTGTAGGCATGATGATATCACCCTTGAATTTCGACTCGCCGATCTGGCCTTTGATGCTGCTTCCATTGACTGCAAGATCGCCGAGATACTGAAGGAGCTTCTGGGCCCGGTTCTGGCTGCCAATCAGTTTGAACAGCTCTGGAGTGTCGTCAATGAAGGTCGTCCAGCACGTGCCTTCAACAAAGGTTGGATGGGTCAAAAGCGAGGCCAAGAAGGGGATGTTGGTCTTCACACCACGGATGCGGAATTCAACCAGCGCTCGCAGCATCTTTCGGCGCACGATCTCGTAGGTGGAGCCGTGGCAAGTACATTTCACCAACATGGAATCGTAGTGAGGAGTGATGATAGCACCAGCAAATCCATTGCCACCATCAAGACGAACGCCGTTACCTCCTGCCGATCGGTACACCTCGATCTTGCCGGTATCGGGAGAGAATCCATGGGAAGGATCTTCCGTGGTGATACGGCACTGGATAGCGAAGCCGCGCGTTGAGATCCGGTCCTGGGTCAAGCCTAGTTGCTCGAGAGAGGCACCAGCCGCGATTTGGATCTGAGCGGCGACAATATCGATGCCAGTAATCTCCTCGGTGATGGTGTGTTCGACTTGGATTCTGGGGTTGATTTCGATAAAGTAATATCTGTTCTGTTGGTCCACTAAGAACTCTGCCGTGCCTGCATTGCGATAGTTGACGGATTGAGCTAGTTTGACTGCATCATTGAGAATGGCATCCCGGACCTCGGACGGAAGATCTTTGGCAGGAGCTAGCTCCACGACTTTTTGGTGCCGTCTTTGAACACTGCAGTCTCGTTCGTACAGATGAACAACATTGCCGTGGTTGTCACCGAGCAGTTGAACTTCAATGTGCTTGGGCTTGTCCAAAAAGCGTTCGACAAAGACTGTGCCGTTGCCAAAGGCGGACTTTGCCTCGGAGGTAGCTCGCTCAAATGAATCCTTTAGGCTTTCTTGGTCTCTGACGACTCTCATGCCACGGCCACCTCCACCGAATGCAGCTTTGATGATGATGGGAAAACCATATTGGTCAGTGAATGCCTTGACCTCTTCAAACTTGGCGACTGGGCCTTCGGTTCCGGGTACGCATGGTACGTTGCATTTCATGGCCAGTCGTCGAGCCGAGACCTTGTCACCGAGAGCATCAATGACCTGATAAGAGGGACCGACGAAGATGATACCGGCCTCCTCGACCTTTCTCGCAAACTCGGCGTTCTCAGACA